AACCCGCCACCTTAGGTGTACGTGGCTGGCGCCTTAGCCGGTTGAGCTATAGGCGCCGAGCCAGAGTTTGCATTTTTAACAAGATCCCAGGGGATTCATAACATACCCAAGTCTGAAGAGCTCTATTCTAGACAACGGTAATGAGAAGTAATCTCCTGGGTTAGTTCCATGAGGTTACCAGGGAAAAAAGGGCCCGAGTGAGAGAAAGAAAAACACTGATCAAAATACACAAAATTGGAACTTGGACTAATTTAATTTGAATATCAAAGCAGTGAGATTGTTATGCCCCAAGCTGGTGAAGTGAGGGGTACTAGTTAAGGACAGTGTCAGGCACTCTGTTATTCTCTATAGGTGATGCAAATATATATATTGGAAGCTGGTTCCAGCTTAAGTCAAATCTACTGGGAAGCACTAGGCCAACTCTAGATAGCAAGGACCTTCCCTGAGCAGCCATCATCAAAGGACCCCCCCCACCCCTCCCAAACACAGGGGAGCTACCCTTATACATTCCCACTTCCCTCAGCCTCTTAAAAATAAGACCATTCCTTTTCCCTTCTACCAAATGTTGAATGAATGACTGCTGGTTGTGAAAAAGAAATTAATGCAAAACTTAAAACTGCCTGAACCAATTTTGGTTACACAAAGATGAATTCTCTGATTAGGGAAAACAGTTGATTCTGCAGAAGGGCTGAAGATCTGAGGGCTCAGAGAAAGAGGGCAGTGGAGGAGAGAGGACGGAGCAAGCATGCTAGACATCAGGAACTAGCTGCCTCTCGGCAACCAGTGCCCTACTGTTCAGGGTTTCTTGAAAAGTCAGTGTGCATCCTACTGTGGTCAGCAGCCTCCTTGGCCGGTACAGAGATGCTTCAGTGACGGACAGGCCCAGAGCTCCTGCCCAGCAGCCCAGAGCCCACTCAGTTCACACCCTCTCAGCTCCAGGGCTGTGCACCAGGCAGAACTGGGCAAAGCTGTGACTCCCACCTGGGCTGTAGGCAGGACAGGTGCAGGCTCAACATCTGGCCACCAGGAAACTGCGGTCTCCAGCAGAGTCTGCAGAGCCTGGTATGCAGGTCTCCTGCATGTCCCTGCCCACCCCAGGCCACACGTGATGCTACTTCTGCATCCTCACACCACACCCTTTTCTCTACTACTCAGAAGCCCAAGTGGGAGTGATAGCGGGAAACCTGCCACTTCATTCCTAAAACCTCAGCATTTTCCTTACTATGTGTTTCAGGACTCTTCTGACACAGGACCCTGTTGGGGGGAGCCATGCTGGGGGGACTGGATGGGACCACACACCGAGATACACTATTCTGACAGTGGAGCAGGGACTGGGGATGGACCAGGAGGGGCTGCCATTCTCCCTCAGGCTCTCATCTGGGCGAGAGTGATCTCTGCCATCCCGTCCAGCTTCTAAAACCAGTCTGTTTTGATTTCGATGCCATGAGGCTTGCAAACTTGTGGCTCCAACCTCAGTAAGCTGGTGGTAACCAGAGTCATGGTCTCCTGCATCCAATGTACAGGACAAGACACAGTAAACGATGAGAACACGCCGTCTGGTGCAACTCCAAACCCACTCCACAGCTGCCGGGAGGCGGTGGCGTGTCTGATCAGTGAGGGTGTCTGGGGGCTTTTCTAAGAGGTACTGTATGTTTATCTCTCCCATCTATCAGTTGTTTTTGTTTTTGTTTTTGTTTTGTAGAGACAGTCTTACTTTTCACCCTCAGTAGAGTGCCGTGGCATCACACAGTTCACAGCAACCTCCAACTCCTGGGCTTAGGCGATTCTCTTGCCTCAGCCTCCCGAGTAGCTGGGACTAGAGGCACCTGTCACAACACCTGGCTACTTTTTTGTTGCAATTTGGCCAGTGCTGGGTTTGAACCTGCCCCCTACTCACTGAGCCATAGGCACTATCCCCATCTATCAGTTTCATTAAAGAACAACAAATAATAAATATGAGGAAGTTCTCAAAATATTCAAGGATGTTTTTCAAAGTTTACAAGGAAGTCGGCATACTAAACTGATTTTAAAAAAAAAAAAAAGCATAAATTTGCCAAGGTGGTTAAAGGGAGATTTTTTTTTGAGACTGAATTTATTATGCAAATAACAAATAATTATTGAATTATAATCATGCAATAAATATTAATAAACATCACTAATCATCATTAGAATAATACTGATATTTATTTAAACCAAGATGTGGGAATTGTCTTTGATGCAGGTCTGATCATTTGGGTCTATGTATCCAGAAAAAAGGGAATGTAGATAACTGAGGGGTTCTCAAACATTCAGATTTCTTGGAAATCCTTATTCCAAATCACACTTAAAATTACAAATAAAGAATAAGGAGATATTCTGACATTTTCCCACAGATGACCCCATTGATGGTCATCTGATAGGCTTTTTTTTTTTTTTTTTTTTTTTTGCAGTTTTTATTTTGGCCAGGGCTGGTTTTGAACCTGCTACCTCCGGCATATGGGGTCAGCGCCCTATTCCTTTGAGCCATAGGCACTGCCCTGGTAGCTTTTTAAATTTAACTACTTCAATGAATGTATGCAAATTAACTGATACACCCAAGTGAGTCTAACCCACCCAGCCAGAGCCCACTTCATCGTGTGCCTGGGGCACCCCAGAGTGTCCTGTGATGGCTCTGATGAGGGATATGGCTGAGAGGGCTCCAGAGGCTGAGTCTGCTTCTGCCGTCATGGCTGACTCAAGCCACCCAACCCCAGGTTAAGAATATGCCCTGGTCACTTAGACTTCCATGGTGTGGTATGGCAAGAATACAAGATGACAAGCCCTGAAAAGGAAGGTCCTTCTGAAGGTAAGGGACAGCCAGCAGCTGGTGAATGAATGAGGTTAGAACTGGCCGAGCTACTGTAAAGGGACCTTGTGAGGGACAGTTAAGGCAATGAGAACAGGAGCATCACTAAAGGAAGCCCTTCCCTCCAGCCTCAGCCTTAAGTGACAGTTTGAGGCACAGCCAGGAAACAGGCTCTGCGGGAGGCCCTGCTGTCCTTTCTCCTTTCTGAAACCTTGGGATGGATGTACCTAGCCAGTGCAAAAAAACCTGCTCCCAATCATTTGTTTTCTCATTTTGGAAGAACAGCAACCTTCCCATGAAAGTCTCTACTATTTTATAGCATAGCATAAGTTTCAAAGCATTTGACTTCACTTCTCATGGTCCTCTTATTCATTCCCTCTGTAAAGATGTGCTGAGTCCTGAATGAGGGACAGATTCTGACCTAGGTACTAGGGAGATAGCAGTGAGCGAGGCAGGGTAAAAACTCCTGTCTCGTTTTACATGTGAGATGACTGAGGCTCGCAAAAAAGCCGAGTGCATGGTCCAAAGTCACACCCTAACAAGTGGCAGAACTGAAACTACATTCAGATCTTCTACATGTAAGGTCAGTGTCCCCCACCACTGCTTGCCCTTATACCCTTCTGTTGTTTTTTTCACACAGAAGGTGCTACTGCAGAAAAATAAAATATCTTTTGTCCTCTGGAATTTGGAATTTCAGTGTCAGTGGCCAACCACCAGTTCTGTGCTCAAACAGGTCTTTGTTTCTCCTGAAGATGCTGAAACCGCCCGAGTGATTAAGCCAGGAGGATCACTTGAGCTCAGGAGTTTGAGGCTGCAGTGAGCTACAGACCCTGCGCCCTGAAATTCCTGGCAAAGCTACTGAAGGGAGTCAGACACGAAAGGAACAACCCAAAGACCCCGGCTCTGAGGAATCCACTAAACCTCAGGCCAATGTGAAAAGAATCTGTAATAGCCAGTTTCTCTTAAAAAAAAAAAAAAAGAAAGAAAATGAAGGTGCCCCTCATAGTGGTTCATCTATGGGTCATTCCAGGTTATTGTAGTCATTTAAATCAGATTGTCGAAGTCATACCTGGATGAGAACAGGACCAATCCATGGAAGGAGTTTTAGTTTTAAAGGGAAAGGGAGCCAGTACTTTTGGAGCATGGGACAACCTTCGGCATAGTAGGAGGATCCGAATGCTAGGAGGTTTTGAAAAGTCACAAGTGTAGGGCAGAGAGAGGAGAGGGGAGGTGTTGGAAGAATTCAGAGTGAAACTGGAGGAGTCAGTGCCTAGGGCCTCGGCTCTCTGCATATGTGTGCAGGCTGTGCCCTTTGTGGCCCCAAAAGGCTACATAAGTTAAAGCCACTTATTCATAAGTGTCCAAGGCTCATAATGTTTTCTCTGGTAATGAAAAGGTGCCACCTGTTGCTAACATTTGAATTACTCAGACGATACAGTCTTGACTGATCCACATGAGCCTCTCAAGGTTAGTGCATAGGAGGAGGAAACAAGACAGAGAGGAAACAAAGAAACTCACGAAGAGAGAAAGAGACAGACCACATCCCTTGAATCTCCCCTGCACCCTGCTACTAGGTAAAGTAGCTCAGATGCCCTATTTTCCTAGAACTTCCTCTATCTTCTCTCTCTCTTTTGGTTTGCTCATCCTGTACCTTGAGTATTCGTGTATTTTCTTTGATGTAGGGGGTCTCTCAGTGGTCTACCTGTCTGGCAACTTTAGCTCTGACTAAGATAAGCCCAGTTTACAGTGTTTGCTAATTTCTGTGGTGTAAACACCTTACGATGGACATTTAAAGTTGCCAACATGACTGAACATGGAACTGGGAAAAGATGCACACCACCAGCTCCCCTGACTCCAGCAGACCGTGAGGCTGAATTTACAGACTTAAAGTGCTTAGGTCCTGCTCCATTCTTTCCCTCTCCACGTTTTCATATCAGTGAAGCATTTAGCTAGCACTGGCTTCCTAGGATATGATTTCCAAAAGGCAGAATCAGTACACCAAAGCCAATTAGTGTCACTACATGATAACTGGGGTACCAGCTGACTCAATGGACTATTAAATAGTCCAATTTGCCTCCTCAATAAAATTAATTGAAGGACTTTGTAGCTCCCTCAATCATTCAAACCCTGACTTTTGCATTTCCTTTCAAATCCCAAATTTACATATAGTAGGAAGGAGGGAGGAAAGAGGAAGAGAAAAATAAGATGTGAGCCTCACACCTGTAATCCTAGCACTGTGGGAGACTGAGACAGAGGACTGCTGGAGCTCAGGAGTTTGAGACCAGCCTGAGAAAGAGCAAGACCTTTCTACAGGAGAAAGAAAAAATTAGCCAGGCATGGTGGTGTTTGCCTGTGGTCTTAGCTTCTCAGAGGCTGAAGCAAAAGGATCACTTGTGTTCAGGAGTTTGAGGTTGTTGAGCTATAATGATGCCCCTGCATTCTTGCCTGGGTGACAGAGTGATTGCTTGTCTCAAAAAAAAAAAAAAAAAAAAAGATTTCTTCCCCACAGATTTTTACATGTGAAGTAATAAGATGTTAGAACAAGTTATATCAAGGAAAAGATTTATAATACACTGAGCATAGGACAAAGAAGTCCCCAGGCAGACAGAATAGTAAGATCACGTCCTTTGTTCTAACACTGGGAGGGATAAATACCACAGTTCTGCTCTGTGATCATAATCTTTTGCAAGTCCATTTGCTATAAAATGATGCTCTGAAAAACATCTCTCTACTATTTTTAGTGTTAGCAAAAGCCAGCTAAAATCTCCCTAATTTTACTACCTAAAAACCTAAGAGAAGGTAATTATGTTTCCTGCTGACAAAATACAATATGTCGAACACTCCCAATTACACAGAAATGTTGAAATGTTGAATAGGAAAAAGAAAATAACTTATAACAGTTCTATACTCACAGTAGGAAACACAGCTCATTTAACCATAGAGGATAAAAATGAATGTCTTCCGGAAGGCTCTTAATCTTCTACAAAGTCTTTTCATTTAATTTAACCATGAATAATTTTTTTAATTACTTGAAATTTTCCATTTTAAATATTAGAAGGCTATTGCCCAGCCCATTTCAATAGTTGGATTAGGCTGTGTACTTTAGCATAGGAAATAGAACCCCCTAGTATTAGTGTCCTGACCGCATACTAATCAAGGGGTTCTATTTCCTAGGTTAAAGGAAATAGAACCTTTAACCTAGGAAATAAAATCCCCTAATATTAGTGTCCCTCAGACATCAGGGACAATAGGAGTTGATTCAATTCAACCCACTCCTTGAAAGCCTCCTTTCCCAAAGAACAGTGTCCATGCCCCTCAGCAGAGCATCTCAAACCCTTCAAAATATAACTCTAGATGCCCACATGTACACCTGCTGGCCAGCAGGGTCCTCCTGAAGCAGCCATCCCATCAGCATTGGGGATAGAAGTGAGGTCACAGTTCACTAGGAGGAGGCCCAATACCTGGGAGGGGAAGAAGCCTCAAATCTGGAAGACCACAAAGTGAGTGGAAGATGGGGCCAGGGAACCAAGGGTTCAGAACTGGGAGATAAAATCAAGAGAAAGGGTCTGGAATCAAATGGGAGGGACATCTGAGATTTCCAGGAACACTTGGAGTGCTGAGGCTCACAGGAGGGTGACTAGGCTTGTGGAGTGGTGGGCTGGGGGTGGGGAGAGATGGAAACCTAAACTCACCTACAAGAGGACCCATGGATGTAGCCCTGGGTCATGCTGTTTCACATCTCAGTACATGTGATTCTCCCTACCCAGAGTATTCCCTGATTTTTCACCTACTAAACTCCCAATCTTCCTATAATGCCCGGTGCTCAAGAGTTCCTACCTCTGTGAAGTTTTCCCCTCCATCATCACCATTTTCCTTGTATGCACCTCATATCCCTGGTAACCAACAAGCACAATATTTGGTACACAGTAGGTGCTTAATAAGTGCTGATTGAATGAGTGAAGGAAAAAACTTCAACAGAGTTCAACAGTCAGACCTTGTTGGAAGGATCTATTGAGATCATCAGTAGTTTAAAAAATGAGGCCAAAAGGTCATACGAAAGACACAGCTTTTCCCCCAAGTCATCTAAGGACTGATCCCTAGCTAGACACTATCATTGTCTTATATTCATAAGTAATAGGAGAATAAATAGATGGGGATGCAAAAAGAAAATTTAACAGCAGTAGATTCCCTGCTGGTAGATTCAAAAGTTTCATACCTGACATTCAAACAATGATACTGGTGTTCAGCCAAAGGAACATCTTAAAAACATCAGAGAACCTACGGGAATGAGTAGCCTTCTAGAGCTTTCCAGGCTGAGGACCAGACTTACCTGACAGATTCCTAGCTCTACCTCAAAGATTCTGATACAAGAGGGTTGGGTCAAGCCATCTGTTATTTTTCAGAAACTCCCCCAAGCGATTCTAACAGTGAATAAATTTAGAAACCACTGGAATCTTGGTTCTAAGCTACTGATGATATGATTTGTGGTGTACATGACAGAGTTACTAGGGAAAGGTGCAGCTGTGTGCCTTTATAGTTTTCACAAATAATAGTTAAACCTACTTGGATTATCTCATTTCATCCTCCCAAAAGCATATAAAGGCAGGGGCTAGTATTATCCTCCCTGTACAGATACTGAAACTGAAGCTTAGAGAGGTTAAGTAACTTATCCTGCTCCTGAGTGACAGACGTGTCCCCCACCATGTGCAGTACCGCCCCTGTGCTGAAGTGTGTGGGCGGAAAGCAAATCCCTAAACCACCATGTGTTAAACAGGTGGCCAGGACACTTGAAGTTGCTTCAGTCTGGATTACTTCTGGACCATTTCATCTTTAACTCTTAGGAACTGGTTGTTTGCTAAATCTTGGGCATTCCTGTATCTGTCTGTCTTGTTGCATTTTGCTCACCTACAGCAAAATACTTGGCCCTTGGTATTTACTCAATAAATATTTGATGGATTTAAAGCAACAATTTGATCCCATGATTGTATTCCATACTATATGGATCAAACCAAGAACTTCACTTAATCAGAGCTCTTTGTGCTTCACTGCCCACACTGAGGATGATGGAAAAATGTGACTTTGCTATCCAAGTGGAGGACGTGGTCAGGACCTTAATACTTGCTTGCTGCATGAGCTTTCAAGGGAAGCCCAGGCTTTCTGCCTACACCACTGTGTCGCAGACAAACCTGGAAGGATCTGGGGTCCCAGTGAAGTAGTGAATGCATGGTGAGCTTCTTTTCTGAGGCAGGACAGACACAGTACTGGCTGTGGTGAGGAAGGATTCAGAGTCTATACAGACTCCACTGGCTTTGTCCCGTAGGATGTTAATCATGGTCTGCACAGTAATGCTTTCTGTAAAAAAAGGAAAGAATGAGAGATGGAAAAATAAAATACAACCATGGCAGGCTACTCACCAAAATCCGTCCACTTCTTGCTCTTTTTAGTACAAAAGACCTGAAATTATAGTTGCAGGATACAGAGGGTACCCAAAATATATAAATAAATTTTAAGAAAGGAAAGGACTGTATTGAAATTGTATTACTCAGTATATACCAATAATGTCTGTTATCTTGTATATTGTAACTTTTATTGCTTGTAATTACAGAAATCAAATGTGACTTGAGTATTACAATTTTAGCACAGTTTTTTCTTTCTTAAATTATGTATGCATTTTTGGCACCCTCTATATATTTTCCAGCTTCCCTGTGACTAGCTGTGGCCATGTGATAAATTTTGATCAATGGGAGGTAAGCAGAAATGATGTGTACAATATCACATCTATAAGATGTGATGAGGCATTGCCCTTTACTTTTTTTTTTTTGAGACAGAGTCTTACTTTGCCCCCTTGATTGAGTGCTATAGTGTCACAACTCACAGCAACCTCAAATTCTTGGGCTCAAGCAATCCTCTTGCCTCAGCATCCCAAGTAGCTGGGACTATAGGCATCCGCCACAACACCCAGCTATTTTTAGAGACGGGATCTCACTCTTGCTCAGGCTTGTCTTGAACTCCTGAGCTCAGGTGATCCACCTGCCTTCGGCTCTGAGAGTGCCAGGATTACAGGCGTGAGTCACCATGACTGACCTACACTTTACTCTTCTTTTGTCCTTTCCTGCTGGGTGGGAGAGGCCAATAAGAGGATCACAAATAGAACTCCTGTGTTAAGCAGAGTAACCGGCGCTGGACTGTCCATACACACTGGACTATAATACAGGAGAGAGATAACCTTCCATTTTCTGTAAGCACAGTAATTTGGAGTCTCTTTGTTATAGCTATACCTCAATGAGTGCATTAACTCAATGATGGCCACGAGAACGTATGTGTAATCTATGTACAGTCTTCCAGGCTCTCTCTCATCTCAGAGTCAATCCTGTTTGGAAAATAGTCTCTCTGCAGGAGAAACATACACAGAGAGAGACATTCATGTTCAGAACCATTAAGACTATTGGTTCTGACTGCAGATAAATGGACAAACAGACCCTTGACTACCTGGGATCCCATTTCTACATTTTCCCCTCTGGTTATAATTTGTTAAAACAGTATTTTGTATTTCACTAAGATGGAATCACCGCATCACATAGGGGAAGGTTTGCTAGCACATCTCATATCCATTTATAACATGCCATACCCAAAAATATTAACAAGAAGTCCTAGATTTCTTCAACTATCTAGGGTTCAAATTTCCTCACTGTCTCACAGATGAGCTTATTGACTTGAATCAGAATCTAGTAGGTTGGTAATGTCTCTTAAATCTCTTTTAATCTCTGCCTCTTGTTGCTGCCCTTGCATCTTACGTGTAAGAGAAATTCAGTCATTTTTCCTGTAGAGCTTTCCACAACCTGGGATTTGCAGATAGCATCCCAATGGGGATACTTAATACGGACCTCCATCCTCTGTATTTTCTCGATATTAGTAGCTAGGCTGCAGCAGATTTAGAATTGATGCTTTGGCAAGAATATTTAATAACTTTCATCCAGCTACTGTTTTTTTAATTAAAAACTCCTAGAGTTTTAAGTTCTCATCTTAAAAATAAGCACTTTATTACCTTTCTACCCAAAATATATTACTTAAGTACTATAACAAAAGTCCTAAAGTGGTTCTAGATTAAGAGCTAGGAAACTTTTTCATAAAGAAGCAGAGACTAAATATTTAGGCTTATGGGCCACTCCGTCTCCATCAGAATTTCCCTGTTGCATCTGCTCAACTCTGCCATGATAGCTCAGAAGCAGCCCTAATAACACATAAATAAATGAGTGTGGCTTTGTTCCAATAAAACTTACATGCAAAACAGGCAACTGCCAACATAGTTTGCTGACCCCTATTCTAAATAATCAAAAGTTTGACTTACCAAAAAAAAATATATATATATATATATATACATGTATATGTATATATATCACTATCAAATATAAAATGTGATGATTGTGGCCTTTTTGGAAGGGTATCCACACAAGCACAAACGTAACAAGCTATCCGGGCATGACCTTTACCTGAGTATGGATTCTGATTAAGTCAATAAATGGGTGGCAGGTAGAGGGCTTGGGAAGAGAATCAATTTAACAATTCAACTCAACGAATGCTCATGGAACAAAGGGCTATCCAGACATCACAAGAGGATCCTAAGATGAGTAAGACAACACCTCTGCCCTCCAAACAGGCTAGTGAGACAGGGTGAGAAGACAATATAGGGAGAAGATAAGCCAAACTTACAAATACTAAGATACAAGGAAGGCTGCAATAAGTACCACAAAAGACAACACAGTGACATCCTGGGTTTAACATAAGTGGGTGCAGGAGAGCTCCAGGGAGAGGAAAGCACCACATAAAAATGAGTTGTCTTCTTGCCTGCACTTTCAGCACGAGCTGGTCTCTACAGACAAGGTCTGTTCACTCCTCCTCCTCTTTGTTCACCCTCCTGAGTTCAGACCAGTTCTCTGAAATAATCATAAGACAAAGGGCACGAGAAAAAGAATCACAAGGGATTTACTAACTCACCTTCTTGGTTTTCTAAGCTATCTTTGCCTGCACAGCAGTCTAGATGAGCATCAGCTGCAGAAAACACTTCAGAAAAGTTGAATTCGCCATCTCCCGTCCACCAGCCTTGACTCTGAGCGTAACTCCTGAGTTCAGGGTGCTCGGCGTCCATCTTAGTGGTGAGTGACAGCTGATTGCAAATGCACTTCACTCCCTCTGCAGAGAACACAAAGCCCACTTAGTTGATATAAACTCATAAAGACATAATCAAAAAGTGGAAATTCATAGGGAATCCTTCCCCTAAAACCCTGAGTTTAGCTACAAGGAAGAACAAGTTAAATTTTTTGTTTTGTTTAGTAGGCCCAGGGGTTTGAACCCACCACCCACAGTGGACAAGGCCAGTGCTCTAACCACTGAGCTACGGGTGCCCATCTTGGAACAATTTATTTTATTTTTATTTATTATCATCATCATTATTATTATTTTGCCGTTTTTGGCCTGGGCTGGGTTTGAACCCACCACCTCCGGCATATGGGGCTGGCACCCTATTCCTTTGAGCCAGAGGAGCCGCCCTTCTTTTTTTTTTTTTTTTTTTTGAGACAGAGTTTCACTTTGTCACCCTCGGTAGAGTGCTGTGATGTCACAGCTCACAGCAACCTCCAACTCCTGGGCTTAGGCGATTCTCCTACCTCAGCTTCCCAAGTAGCTGGGACTACAGGCACCCGCCACAACGCCTGGCTATTTTTTTGTTGCAGTTTGGCCAGGGCCACCCACCACCCTCGGCATATGGGGCCAGTGCCCTACCCACTGAGCCATAAGTGCTGCCTGGAACAATTTAATTTTTAAAGAGAGAAACAGACAATCCTTGGTTTTCTTCTCTAGGAAGTGTCCTAAAAGGTTTAATCAATCTTGGCTGACCATTATCACATTTTAACCAATGATCATTTATTTATCTTAAATTTGTAATCACAAGGAAATGTGTAAGCCTCTTCATTCTGGCTAAACTCTAAGTATCCATTATTTACCAAAAAAAAAAAAAAAAAGGTGAAAGTTTATTTGAAAGAGATGTTGCACTAACAAGACTTTGCTACAAATTCTGTATGAGATTCCCCTAAAGCAGTGGTTTTTTTGTTTGTTTTTTTTTTCCAGTTTTTGGCTGGGGCTGGGTTTGAACCCACCACCTCCAGCATATGGGGCTGGTGTCTTACTCCTTTGAGCCAGAGGCACCGCCCAAAGCAGTGTTTTTCAACCTTTTTTATCACATGGCACACTTAAACCTATATTTAAACTTTTGCAGCACACTTAAATTATTTTGTTTAAAAAAAAAAGACTATATTTACTGTGCTTTGAACTGCTTTTGAAAATAATTTAATTAATGATCTTTAGAAATTTCCATGGCACACCAGTGGAAAATCACTGCTCTAGAGAGAGGTGTTATGCCTCCACAGCAACGCTCTACAGCTGCAGCTTCCAGCCACTCTCTCCATCCTATTAGGAACGAGCTGCCCAGCAGGGGGGAGCGGCAGGTGAGCAAGCAAAGCTTCCTCTGTCTCTACAGCGGCTCCCATCACTTGCATCACTGCCTGAGCTCCTTCTCCTGTCAGATCAGTGCAGCATTAGATTCCCACAGGAGCAGGAACCCTACGGTAAAGTGCACACGCAGGGGATGTAGGTTACATGTTCACTCTGAGAATCTAATGCCTGATGACCTGAGGTGGAGCTGAAGACAAGAACAACACGCTTAGGGTGTCACTATCTCTCATCACCCCCAGATGAGACCATCTAGTTGCTAGAAAACAGCTCAGGGCTCTCACTGATTCTGCATTATGGTGAGTTATATAATTATTTCATTATAGATTACAAGGTCATAATAATAAAAATAAAGTGCACAATAAATGTAATGCACTTGAATCACCCAAAAACCACCACCTTCCCTACACACACCCTGGTCCAGGGAAAAACTGTCTTCCATGAAACCAGTTCTGTGTGCCAAAAAGACTGGGGACCACTGCTCTGCTGCGTCTATAGAGATTCTGCCTCCCTAATCTGATCCTTTTTCACCTGGGAAAACACTTTACACCACCACACCCTGCCCAAATATATGTGGTTTTTAAGAAATAGAAATCAAGGCTTGGTGCCCTTAGCACAGTGGTTAGGGCACTGGCCACATATACCAAGGCTGGCAGGTTCGAACCCAGCCTGGGCCAGCTAAACAACAATGACAACTGCAACAAAAAAATAGCCGGGCATTGTGGTGAGCGCCTGTAGTCACAGCGGCTTGGTAGGTTGACGCAAGAGAATGGCTTAAACCCAACAGTTTGAGGTTACTGCGAGCTGTGACGCCATGGCACTCTACCAAGGGCAACAAAGTGACACTGTCTCAAAAAAACAAAAAAAGAAAGAAAGAAAAGAAAAAAAGAAATACAAATCAAACACTCCTCATTCAACTTTCTTTTCAAGTCTCAACATTTAAAAAAACATAGCGGCAGTGATAATGAATCATTTTAAAAGAATGGAATGTCCTCACACATATATGAATGTCTGGATGCATGTGTGCATGCATATGTGTGTTGGTGTGAAAAATCGGTGGGAATTTTTTTCTCATAAAAATAGAATTGTAACTAAATAACTCTAGAATCAGAAATGCCTGCATTCTAAGTACACTCCACCTTCATGAATGAAGGTTTGGATGAGAAACTCTCCTGTCAGCCGGCAGGCTGGCTAGCTATGTCTTCTCCGAAGCCTGAGCTGCAGATACACACAGGAAAACTTGGCCTTCAAGCTTCAAGATGCTGCCCAGACTGCAAACACTGAGACGTTATCGGTGCTAGCTCAAAGGGGCCCGATGATCTTCCAATGTCTTGGAAAAGGAAGTAAAAGAGAGAGCGCCTAATTATAAGCAAGAATAAAGCCATCACTGCCTGAAAACCAGTTCCTAGAGGCAGGATCAGTGCTGGACCAAGTTCTTTCAGGCTGTTTTGCTTCACTGATTTACACTTCCAGAATAAGCATTCCTGGCTGGTGGGCCTTGGCCCTTCGCCACCATTCATCACTTACTTTACATCATAAAAGTGAAATTATAAACAATTACAATTTAAAAAAGAGTTTGGGCCTAAATGAATGATTTTGACATCATTCCTATTCTAAGCTACTAAAAAATATTCTTTTATCTGGACATAGCATCTTTGAAAAAAAATATACTTGTGAACAACTCACAGATGTTATTTTCCAGGAGGGTGATTTATAGTAGATATCTGCTTTCAAGAATGTTAGCATTTGGGGACAGAGTGCATTAAATCCTCCTGCAATCAACCACATTGCTGCTGGGATCAGAGGACATGAAATTGATGGGTCCAAGAAACAACTGAGGATTTTTAAAATTTAAATATTTAAGGCCGGGTGCGGTGGCTCATGCCTGTACTCTTTGCACTCTGGGAAGCTGAGGCAGGTGGATTGCCTGAGCTCAGGACTTTAAGCTAGAGTGAGACCTGCCCTCTAAAACTAGCCAGGTGTTGTGGCAGGTACCAATAGTCCCAGCTACTCAGGAGGCTGAGGCAAGAGGATCACTTGAGCCCAAGAGTTTGAAGTTGCTGTGAGCTATGACACCACGGCACTCCACCAAGGGTGACAGAGTGAGACTCTGTCTCAAATAAATAAATAAATAAATATTTAGAGAAAGATAACATTCATTCTGTGGAGATGGACATTTTAACACATTGTCGTGTACATTATGAACTATTTTTCAAGTTTTCACATTACTTTTTACTTGACTCATTTACAAGTTTTTGTATTTCTTTTTTATTGATGTACATCGTAGATTTTAGAATTGTTTTGGTTTTAAAGTTTTTAATGTATTTTTGTAATAAAATATTGTGTTCCCAAGGAAAAAAAATTTTTTTCTAGTGTGGCAGTCAATGTGTGAAGCCATATTTTGAAGGGAAGCTCAGCTTTTGCAATGCAGTTATAGATCAAAAAGTTCTAGGTTCTACTTAAAAGAAATAAGACTACTTTTAAGCATGGAACACTAGCCCTTTTGATGGAACCATTCAATAGTAAGACTTCATCTTAGCAGGGGTTTTATAAAGGAGTTTTAAGCTCCTGCATCACAGGAGAGTGGGAGACCTGGTGGGCTGCACTGTGAATACTGTGAGAGTTGGGCAGGCCGCACACACCCTGTGGCATGTGCTGGGCACAGGAGGGTGGAGGAACTCTGATGGCCAGTGGTCACTACTAGCCCATTCAGCACCCCATGACAATGAGAAGCCGTCCCCAATCCCTGGGCAAACACAGTCTTCACACAGGAAACCACAGTCTAGATTTCACTGCCTCGGTGGGGCAATTTTGTACATGGTACAACATCCCTATCACTCAGAGAAGCCCCGATCACCAGACTGTGAGCCCAGAAAACAGGCTTGATTCCCTGCAGCTCTTCTGTTGTTCATTCAGACCAAATTTGGTTCCATTTACTCCTAAGGCAGGGATGGCAAACAGGTTTCATGTCTAACACCATTTCTGATTAATTGCAAGTGATTCCCTGGTAAATTCAGTTAAGAAAAATACATAGGTCAACTATAGGTTCAGATAAGAATGCCGTGATCTACTCACCATGTCTGCCATGAGCTTGTGGGGGCAGAGTGATGCACACACATACCATGTGTTCCGTGATCTACTCGCCGTGTCTGCTGTGAGTTCGTGGAGGGGCAGAGTGGTGGCACGCACACACCATGTGTTCCGTAATCCACTCGTGGTGTCTACCATGAGCTCGTGGGGGCAGAGTGATGGCACACATACACCATGTGTTCTGTGATCTACTCCCGGTGTCTGCCATGAGCTTGTGAGGGCTGAGTGATGGCACACACACCATGTGTTCCATAATCCACTCGTGGTGTCTACCATGAGCTTCTGAGGGCTGAGTGATGGCACTCACACACACCATGTGTTCTGTGATCTACTCCCCATGTCTGCCATGAGCTTCTGAGGGTCAAGTGACAGCACACACACGCACCATGTGTTCCGTGATCCACTCACAGTGTCTACCATGAGCTCATGGGGGCAGAGTGATGGCACACACACAGCACGTGTTCATCACCCAGTCATAAGGAATATGATAGGTGCTCCACCAGCTGATTCTTTCTTGGAACTACACATTCTTCTTGGAAGCCCTTTTACCCATTCTGGGCTTCCCATCCTGATGATATAAAATACCACCCCCATTCCTAACATTTCCTTTCAGAGCTGCCTTAAAAGTGTGATGCTGAAAGGGCCACAGAGCACCATTTTTCTGGGTACTACATCCTTCCAGGTGGATCACTTGGTCCTCAGCTCTTCCAGAAACATTGTTGGCCCAGATTGGCATTCAGTGGTCCTCACACAGATATAAGCGGCTATCCTGCAGGACCATTTCAAGCACAAAGGTCTACAGGACTGGGGAAGAATCATTGCTCCCTTGGCCAGTTATCTAATAGAGTAGCAGTTTGAGTTGTGGAACTACAAGTAGTCAACTGGTACTGGATACTACCAGTCAGCTATAATTAGTCAAACCGGATGCTGCCAAAGAGAAAATATGAAATGTTAGTGCTTCCCAAGCGTTGACATCCCTTCACTCCAGCTTCAGGAGACTCCAGGTTCTTCCCTGGAAGCAGATCCAGAAATGAGAGGCATGCCTGAGCATGAAGACCCGCACAGGGAGGGTCTGGGCTACAGGCTCATTCCTCCTCTAGAGTAACGCAGCACATCCAAGCAACCCCCATCTTAACCTTGTCTGTCCTCAAAACTCTTCACCATCCACACACTCACCTGTGACTCTCTCGGCAGCCCAGTACTTCCCTATGGTCTCGAGCACCCAGGCTTCGTCACGATCCACAATCAGATATGCGCTTTGAAAGCTATGGCAGGAGCTTGCATCTTCATAGTAATTCCCACCTTGTCCATGTTCTTCCAACAAGGAGACGATGGTATCTAAGGCTTCTTTAGCTGTTTCCCCTCTTTCTAAACCAAGCCTGCAGTAAGGAAACAGAGGTATACCCTAGTCATTTCATGCCACGTCATTACTACCATAGCAATCAAAGACCAGGGCAAGGCTGAGTTCCACAGTGCAGCAGCAGGTATAAGGAAGATATTAAGTAAGAGACTGATTGACAGCACTGTAACTCACGATTCTCCCCCCACACGGACTGCTAGAAATCATGGGGCTGTTTTCTGTCTTTGAGACATTCCCCCTCCACACACAACAGTCAGGAACTAAATGGCATCTCCCTCTTGAAAGGAAGTTCAGCCACTTCTCTCTCCCTTTTCTGACTGTGTCTCCCACAGTGCTGGCCAGCTCAGCTCTAGCGCTTACTAAGACCACCTCTCTGTGGTTTGTGCTCCCTCCTGACTCCAGCCTTGACCTCTATTAGTCAACACCACATATTTTGCTTAGTAACAAAAGTGTTCAATTGCCAGCCATTGTCCTCTGTCCATATAATTTGCTCAGAGGTCTCAAGAGGAATGGGCAGCTGGTTGAGACATGACCAATCCTTTCTCTACTCTATACATTTCTCCTCCTACCTACCAGCCTATGTCCATTGGTGTGGCTTCCAGCTTCAGTGATAAAAAGAATATGTGTTCTTTCTGAAGTAAGACGTTCCCTCTACCCCTGGCCCTTCCAATTAATAGACTCTTTAAAGAGGGCATAGATATTGTCCTCTGTGTGACCTTGGAGAGGTCACACACCATGTAATATATTTGAACTTCAGTTTTAGGGCATCTATAGAATGAGGACCCACATCATTAGGTTTGCTATAAGGATGGGTCTATGAGATAATGACCATGAAAATGCACAGCATTTGTGCTGAGACCAGCTAAGTGCTTAGTGGAGGTAGAGCACTGTGGTGGAGAAGCACATGATTAAGAGATAAAGGAATCAGCATCTAGATCCAGTGCTGCTGGGTACTGGCAGTGTGATCTTAAATAATAGGACATTTCCAAGCCTTGATTTTCTCATCTGTAAAGTGAAAACAATACTACCTCCCTTTCCAGATGCTAAGAAATAGGATGGTGCCTGGTGTTTACTGAGGATATGCCCATTTATTCATCTGTTCATTCAAATTATAATTCCAGGGGCAGGGGTGCAAGTCTTAGCACAGGGGCAAGGGAGCTACTAAGATGGTGGCATAAGCCAGTTCTTGGAGAATTTTCAACTTGAGAAGTAATAACTATTTAAATTCACCCAATTTGATGCTTTCTAAAGGAATGTTTTCCTGGGTTGCTAGGAAGAAGAAAAGATATGCTATGGACTGATTCTTATAACAGGCTTACTTTCATAGTCAGATAATTATATAACAATTCATTTGATGTTTCTCATTTTAAGCTTATTTAGGAAGATCTGGTTACAAGGCAATGATTTACAAAGCTAAACCCTAAGGCCTTAGGAGAGGAACGAAAGAATAAACCCATTAGGAGATTGAATTAAGTAGACCTTTCTACTGGTCAATGTCATCCTCCCTGCACTAGAATAAACGAGTGTGCTGTGAGTGCCTCTCCTAACCAGAACTGTGCCCTCTGCAGGGCCTCCCTCCTCCTCTCCACAAGGCCCCCCTGAGGGCTCCCTGGTCACAGTGCCTCATGTCCATTCCAGGCAGAACCCTGTTCCCAGGGCCTCTGTTCATGTAAACATGTGTTAGGAGCATGTGAACAGCCAGCCAGGGGCCACAGCCCCATCTTTGGAGCCTGTGATTTCTCTTTTTCCATATAACACTCTTTCCTGACATGTGCCTGTTTGCATGCGACAGGTAGGCCACAGTGAGGCCCCAATACTTGCACTTGCCCTCCCACACTGAATTCAGGGTCCTACATACACAGTCTGCAGCAGGCCCTGCAGACTCATCCACAGACACAATTCTGACCTCACCTTCCTACCGCTCATGCCAGGACCAGGGGTCAGTGGTACTCCTTCCTCCCATCTGACCATGCCCACCTGGTCTCCCGGTCGCAGGATGAGGACAGGATCACCTAGTCCAGAGCACAAGGGCCATGAATACCATGGTTACACATCTGCCATCTGTGACTGACAGCTGCTGATGAATCCCATGTCACTGGGGACAGAAGAGAGGCCAGAGAGACCGGGCCTGCGGTGATCCTGGGCCATATGACACACGACAACATGAGGGCTATTTCCGAGCCATTCCCAACTACCTCACCTCCAAGATGATGCAGATCCACGTGACTCCAGATGAGAACAGCACTTTCTGGCCCCCTCACCTAATTTGACTTTGGCTGCTACAACTCAGCGTGGGCAGGACCAGGACAAGGAAAGGGAAGAAGTTAAGTAGGCCAAGGTTAATGTCTCCCTCTGGCATCTCCTTTCCAAATCCATCCAAAGTGTGCACTTTGTCCACATTGTTCTAGGTCTGTGAATTAGATGCTCCTGGATTCAGTTCCTAGTTTCATGGGAAAATCTTTATTTCAAGCCATGACCTTCTCACAGGCATATCAAGCACACTCTGCCTACTCCAGGAAGGCTAACACATCTCACTGAGGAAGGAACATCTGTACTTCCTTCTTGACAGACCTTTGTTTAGGAGCTTGGCTTGCTTATCTTTCCAATATCTCTGTCTCCACAGATTAAGAGGACCTCTGTTTCTTTGTACCCCAAATAAGGTAAAACTAAGTTAAAACTAACTTTGCCATGGATACATAATCACCCCTGGAGGAAAGTAATAAAATAGTCAACACCCCTGCCCTTGGAGGGATGAGCCTGCTGTTCTCATTGAACTCAGCTGCAAGTAATCTTCCCTCCTCCCCACAGCCAATAAGTGTACAGGGCCCCCCTCGGGATTCATGATCTTTTGGACATCAGAAGATTCTCATGCAGAGTTCTGGAAGCAGGAAGGTCATGCTATTGACTCAGTGGATGTGTGCCCCCAGATTCATCCCCTGAAGCCTAATCTCCACTGTGATGATATTTAGAGTTAGGAACTTTGGGACGTAATGAAATCCTAAGGGGTGAGGCCCCCATGGTGGGATTAGTGCCCTTTAAGGAGAGATATGAGAGCTTATCTTGTCTCTGTTCTCTGCCAGGTGAGGATACAAAAGGAAGACAGCCACCTGCAGCCAGCAAGCAGACCCTCACCAGACACTGGAGCTGCCAGTGTCTAGAGCTTGGATCTCCTAGTATCCAGGACTGTGAGAAAGAAATAAGTGCCTGTTGTTTGAGACCGCAGTATATGGTGTCTTTGCTGTAGCGGCCAAATGGAGCAAAAAAGGCAGTAACTGGATGTGACTGCAAAGTGCAGCTTCAATTTGGGGGAAGAGTGGGTGAAACCTTCTGACCAATCTCCATCTCTTGGCATCCTGAGCCTGCTGTCTCACTGAGAGTAGAAAGGGCAAAGTGAGCTGTCATTCAGGGAATTTGCCCTTTAACTTCCCTAAGCTCCAGATTCCTCATATGCTAAATGGAAATAAAGAGACCTACTTCACTGGGTTCTGTGAGATGAAATGAAATGAAATAACATTTGCAGGGGCCTTGGGTGGTGGCTCACACCTATAATCCTGGCACTCTGGGAGGCTGAGGCAGGTGCATTGCTTTAGCTTAGGAGTTCAAGACCAGCCTGAGCAAGGGTGAAACCCTATCTCTATTAAAAATAGAAAAATTAGCCAGTTGTTGTGGCAGGCACCTGTAGTCATAGCTACTCCAGAGGCTGAGCCAAGAATATCACTTGATTCCAGGGGTTTGAGGTTGCTGTAATCTAGGCTAATGCCACACCACTCTAGCCTGGGGCAACAGAGTGAGACTGTCTCAACACACACACATTTGCAAAGCATGTCTTACAATGGCATTCAGGGAACAATAACTCAAATTACACAGGTTCCTTTCTCCTGCAAACATTGGCTGGGCCTCCTTTCAGAACACCTTTAAGTCACATTCACCAACAATCTAAAGACAAACTATAGATCTTTCCAAATTTTCACTCTGGCTTGTCTTCAAGAACTTTCATATTTTTTTTTTTTAGACAGAGTCTTAAGCTGTTGCCCTGGGTAGATTGCCACGGTGTCACAGCTCATGGTAACCTCAAACTCTTAGGCTTAAGCGATTCTCTTGCCTCAGCCTCCCAGTAGCTGGGACTACAGGCGCCCACCACAACAGCCAGCTATTTTTTGTTGCAGCTGTCATAGTTGTTATCACTAGCCTGGGCTAGGCTCGAACCCCCCAGCCTCAGTGTATGTGGCCAGCGCCTTACCCACTGAGCTACAGGCACCACCATTTTGTATTTTTTAACATACTGAAGGTCAGATGGAAAGTGTCCAGACTCATAAGATGTTCTGAAGTATCGGGATCCTTTAGGTGTTAGAGCCAATGTTAAAACACAAAAGGCAGCAGGAGAAGAAAAGAATCAAGCAGTAATGAAAAGGGAAAAAAAGACAGAAAACATGGAATGAATGTGGTGATCTGCCGCCTCGTACCAGCTTGGAGAGCAGATGGTTAAATTACAAGAATTTTGAGCTGGTGGTTAAACAATCGGTAGCTTGAAATTTATCATGATGGGAATGCTTACATTACAGAATTGGAAAAGGCCACAAATTAAGGCTGCCCCTCCCTGCCACCAAGACAAGCATTAAGCATTTACCAGCATGCCACTGACTAATGGGGTCCAAAAGCTTCCCGGTTCCCAACCAGGCTGAGGCCCAGCTGCATTATCACAACCAGCTGACCTTGTAAAAGACACCCTGACCTAGAAAATAAATTTCCATTTTTATGTTAGGTCCTATCAGCTACTTGTCACTTGGAACCAGTCCCGTGAAGCATGCAAAAATGTGTATATGCATTTATGTGCCTTTTCCTCCAGAGAAAGGGACTAATGGTCAGAGTCTCACAGAGATCCGTGGGTCAAAAATAACAGATCAAACTTAGCTTTTAAGCACACACATCGCTTAAAATGAATTCCAAGCACAGTACTGCCTAATCCTTGCATTCCCACAAGTCTCTAAGAAACATATGCAAATTTTACCTTGATCTTAAAGTCAGTGCCTATTAAATTGCTACTGTCATTCACTTGGGTCTCTTTGAACTGAGGTTGGATTTCAGGTGCTGAGGGAAAGCACAGAGCATCAGCGTACAGACCAGGCAGCCACCAGGGTCTTAGAACAATCAGCCACAGTCTAGCAGGCACTTGAAACGGAGTGCCAGATGTGACCAGCGTGTGCTCACCAGGGCTATCCAGGGGAGAAGCAAGGACAGGGGAAAGAGCGGCACCCCATGTGGCAATACCAAGGGAGGTGCTGAGTCCTAAAGGGGCAGAAAGTATCTTCTGGAGCAGTGGGTCTCCACCTTTACCACAGGGAAGCATCGCCTGGAGCAATGGTCCCCAACCTTTTTGGCACCCGGACCTAGTTTTGTGAAAGACAATTTTTCCGCAGACTGGGGCAGGGAGCTGGATGGGGATAGTTTCAGGATGACTGAAGTGCGCGGCACCTCCACTGCCCCTCATCAGGCAGTAGACTCTCAGAAGGACAGTATAACCTAGCTCCCCTGAGTGCACAGTCTAACACCCCCACTTATCTGATAGGAGGCGCAGCTCAAGCGGTGCTGCACACAGGGGTATATACAGATGAAGCTTCACCTGCTCACACACCCTCACCTCCTGCCGTGTGGCCTAGTTCCTAACAGTCTGTGGCCTGCTACAGGTCCTCAGCCCAGGGGTTGGGGACTGCAGGCCTGGAGGGCTTGTTAAATGGTTGCTGGCCTCATCCCCATCCCCAGAGTATCAGTAAATTTTGGGGGGTACCCAAAATTTACATTTCTGACAAGTCCCCCAGTAATGCTTGCTCACTGGCCACACTTTGAGAATCACTGCTCTAGAAGCTTGCCATCCAATGTGTGGTTTGCAGGTCCACAGCATCGACAGCACCTAAAACTTCTTAGAAATTAACACAGGAAGCCTTCTGGTATGAGTCACTTTTAGGATTTGGATGTTAGGAAATGACCCTTCAGATTCTGGCTATACGTGGCTGAATTCATCATGGCCAACTTAAAATTCTAACCAGACCATGAATTCAAAGACCCTCTCAAGGGGCAGATATCCGCAGCCCCACCCACACATGGAGAACTTAGGGCAGCAGGATCCTCTTCACATCCTCTTCATTGCAATAGCTGGACGTGGCAAGCCAAGGAAGGAATTAAAATCAGATGGCTACGATGAAACTATCACCCTATGATCTACTCCAGACATCTGTTATTGTCCTAGACCTAGCGAATGATTGCACCACCAGTTACGTGCCAAATACATCCTGTCTACCTCCCTCAGCCTTGTAGATGCAGGCCAAACACATCTCCTCCTCAAAGCATTGCCAAATGTGCCCAGCTTGTGATAATCTCTGAACATCCAGCCGTGTTCACGAAAGGCCATTCCCTGGAAATCTGAGCCATTCATGTGGCATCAAATCTCAGATTGCCTTGAGTCACCTCTCTCCTCCTTTCTTAAATTGTTCTTAAAAATTGCATTGCTCAATCTTCTGTCTTTTCCCTGCAACCAGACTAAAATATCTTTGAAGCCTTGAGTTTCTTCATGTGCCCACAGAGTCTCGTACAAAGTAGATACTCAGGAAACCCCTGTTGCTTTATTGGTTGATAATCTTAAAAAGATAACTCAGAGGCTTTGAAGAAAGAGGAAAAATTGTCTTAGAAATCAACTATAAAATATGGTGATCTTTGCCAGGTCTGCAAGTCCTGTACTACATAATAGCTCAAAGCAAAAGGTTACAAATGAGGAATAAAGGGGCATATTTTTCAATGTTAACTCTTCATCTTCAGGATTTCTATTAAATACAGAGGTAAAAAGTACAAAGAGAGCTTTCAAATGTAAGCTCAAATTTGGGGGTTTTTTGTTCATGTTTTGCTATCTCCAAGTAAGTAATATCAAAACTTGTTATTTTACACATTTTATTCAGCTAACCAAGAATAAAACTAGTTGTAAATATGGGGCTTTTTCTGCCTTTTCCCAGCTCAGGGAAGCTGCTTCTTCTGAGTATATGAGGATATGAATAATCAGAAAGGGTAAGGACTGCATAAGGCACCATGCTACCAAAGTGGTTCCTTATTGGCAGAAGAGTCATAGAGGCCTCTGTCCAAATGGACAATCTCCCCTACAAAACCCGTGTCAAACCTCTACTCCTTTTTCTAGGATATTAGTTTGGGGAGGTTCTTTGAAGGTCATCCAATATAGACCTCCTATTGAAAAGTAGGGAAACTGTGACCCAGAGAGTTAATCTGACTTGGTGTATCCACACCGAAATCCAAGACCTCCAGCTCCCAGTTCAATATTCTTCGAACTAGGTCATGATTCTATTTCATTTTACTACTTCAAAAAAAAAGAAAGCCATCTCAGAAAGTTGCTTACCTCCAGTCCACCCTCTATTTTAGTTATTGATTCAAAATTCAGTTACCGATCACCCACTGTGTGCCAGGCACACGGTTTCCAGTGCTTGCAACACAGGGGTAAACAGAGATCCCTGCCCCATCCAGCTTATCCCGCCAATCCCTTCCATTACTTAGTGGCTGGGAGAGGAGAGACAGGGAGAAAAGACAACTGAGATATAGAAGGGAAAGGAGGGAAGTGATGTTTAGTTATTTTTTCTCTTATATTTTATGTATTTTTTAATATTTTTCTTGGATTTTAGTGTATTCACAAGGTTGTGCAACCATCAGCACAATCTAAGTTTAGAACATTTTCAACACCCTCAAAGGAAATTCCACGCCCATGAGGAATCAGTACCCACTCCCTCGCCCTCATCCCACCCCTAGGCAACTACGGATCGGCTTTCTGCCTCCATGGATTTGGCTGTTCCATACACACAGAATCACGCCCTATGTGATCTTCTGCATCTGGCTTTTCTCACTTAGTGTGGTGTTTTCAACATCAGCATGTTATCGTATGCACATTGGATTCCTTTTCTATTGCTGAATAATATTCCATTGTAATCTATTCCTTTTTGCTGTTATACCTTGGGAGGATTATGTTATAAAAGATAAGATTTAGGGAACACAAATCCTGCCCCCATTGCCAGCCTTTTCTGGGCAGTACCTGACCAGATCCATCCCCAGCAGGGCTTCCGTCTCGGCAGCTGGCTCTCTGGTGCTGACGGCTGCATTGGCTATGCACACTCCGTGTTCGTTGGCTCCCATCTCTGCCCCCCAGAGCCAGGCAGGTCTGCTTATCACGATGGCATGGGTCCTCGGAACCTGGTCGATTGAAATGTAAGTGCACTAAAAAACAAAGACAGGAAAAAAGCACCATCACCTGTCAGGTACCTCTTAGCGTCCAGCTTGGTGCTTACACTGAACCATCACTTCAGTTATAGAGTCCAAAACTAAAAGGCCCTGGGAACGCCTCAATTTAAAACACACCCCAAGGTGCAATATGCTCTAAACTCTCCACGGTGAGTTCGGTCTCTCCAGTTCAAGCCAATCCAGGCCTAGGTTCACATGATACAGCAATCACCTTGAACCGGATATATAACCCATCATTGCCTGCTCATTTCAACAGGGCTGGTGAACACAGCTATTTACAAGCCTATCTTCCAAAGCAACTTAACCTAGAAGCCTAACATTAGAAAGCAGATAAAGGGAAGATGCTCTGTGTGAAGGAGGCAGGTCTCTGAGCCCCTGAGACGATCCCTAGGAACACAGTTTGACAACCTACAGGATTGCCCCAGTGGTGGAAAAGAGAAAAGGATGACATTTACGTTCAACTGCTGCACTCCAGCGTACGCTCTCTCACACTGTGCTTCCCCATCCGTCCACTGCACTCGCACACCAGGCCAGTGAGGTCGACACGGAAGGAAACAGTCCCACAGAGCTGTTCCTTGGCAGCTTTCAGAACTGCAACGCACACCTCTTAACAGTCCTATGCCTTACCGCCTCCAGGCTGCTGCGTCTTTACCTGGAAACTGAGGGAGCTATTTTGGATGAAAGTTATTTTTAAACCTCCAAACCCTTCCTTTACACATACTCTCTCACAGAAGCATGAACACAATACAACAGTCAAAGCCAGTTATAGCAAAGGGAGGAAGAGGCAGGGGCCCAGGGTGCTCCCCGGCGAGCTTTGTCCACCTGTCTTTCTTTTTAGACAGAGTCGTACTCAGTCACACTGGGTAGAGTGCCATGGCATCATAGCTCACAGCAACCTTAGACTCTTGGGCTCAAGTGATCCTTCTGCCTCAGCCTCCTGAGTAGCTGGGACTACAGGAGCCTGCCACTATGCGCAGCTAGTTTTTCTATTTTTAGTAGAGATGGGGTCTCACTCTTGCTCAGGCTGGTCTCGAATCCCTGAGCTCAAGCAATCCACCTGCCTTGGCCTCCCAGAGTGCTAGGATTATAGGAGGCGTGGGCCACCAAGACTGACCTACCACCCCTTCTTTCTTGTACCCTCCCCATGGCCTATCACCCCTGCTTTCTTGTACCCTCCCAAAGGGGGGACTGGGCTGGAGCAGCTGGAAAGCCATACAACTAGGTTATCTATCTATAGGCGCATCCTGGCTCTGACATTCTACCAGCCTAAGACAGATTCTTTGTGTGGTGCAAGCAATATGGGATTTAGTCTAAGTTATGCAGAGCTCTCCAGGGAGGATTTTATCAGCTGTAGTAGTCATTTACATTTTAAATGAGCAGCTGAAAGCTAAGTCTTAGTTTTTGTTGTTGTTGTTGTTTTTTAAATTCAAGACTGAGCTATATCAATTGAAGGTAGCCTGGAGAGCTACTCTGCATTGGTTTTCCACAGCCTCTAACCCCCAGGGAAGAGCTCACGTGCACGCAGCCCACAGGCTCACTGGTCAGGGGACTGCTGTATCTGCACACTTCGTGTTAGGAGTTGCTCTGCACAGGCGTAATGTCATTACACCTGGTGAATATCTATAAACTGAAAGCTAATTAAGTCTGGAAGTTATCAAGCAATGCTTTAGTTTTTCATAGCAAATTAATAATAAAATATGCCCTTGAAGTGTTTTCCCCTCTTCGGTTCCCAAAGGCTGTTTACTTAAAACAACGATTTCTGTAGAGCAAAAAGCTGGTCAAAGCCATAATCAAACTGTGCTCCTCTGTACTCTTCTAAGTGGAATTTAAGTTTGTATCTTAAAATGGCGTTCTTCCATGTAAAAAAGTAACCCGGGCATTGACAAAGACTTTCCAAAACCCCTGTCCCCACCGAGCACCAGTGGCAAATTTTATCTTAAAAAGAAAGAGCAAACAAGGAAGGAATCTAGCTTCTTAAACATAGATTATTTATTATAAAGCTTGTTTAAAAAGTCAGGAAAAAATAAAGATAATAAATGGGGGGAGGTTGTCCTCCAACTCATTTTTATACTTTCCTTTCCATTTTGCCAATTATTTAAGCAATAACTATACTCAAGGCATTCTTCACTAACTGCTGCTGGCAGAAAATCGGTGAGGACACCCAGTGTCTGTCCTTTCTGTTGTCAAGGAAGAAGAAGGCAGGGACAAATTACTGTGCCTACCAGATCAACTTCTGAGAGTCACTGAGGCCTGCCTACTTCGGACTGATAATCTCTCAGCCCCTCCTCCCACCGTGCCCTTCTGATTGACCCTAGCCTGCTCTGCTTTTTCTTTTTCTCATTCCATTCTTTGTATTCCCTTTACAAAGACTATATAAGTGACTTCTTCATTACACATGCCGCTTATGTATGCCATCTCCCCTAGCTAGAAAGTACCAGGAGGGAGATATCTCTGTTGTTTCATTCACTCATGTATCCCAAGTCTAGTGTATACTAGGCATCAATAAACCTTTTTTTGGACAGATGGATGGATGGATGGATGGATGGATAAATCTCACATGTCTAAGGCCGTGTGATAAAGGTCCAGGGAAAGAGGAAGCACATCCAAGAGCTAAGAAGCAGAGAAAAAAGAGAAACGGTTATGTCAGAGGCGCCTTCATGGTTCAGGAAGGTCCCCACTGTGCCGCTTGGGGGAGCAACTGTGATGACACTAGGGCACCAAACTGCAAGGCCCCGTAAGGACTGCCTGATAATGTTGACAATTGAACTGAAAAGACCATATGGTCTTTGTGGGAGTCCAAAACATATGCAGCCAACTGGACACTGTTCAGGCCAAACTCGGAATGATGAGGAAGGAAGGGGATCCCCATGTAGCCAGATGGGCCACACGGGCCCCTCCTAAGCTCAAGCCTGAAAGCCAGTGCAGCCAGACTCCCCTCTATGCCCCTTGCAGCATCTTTGTCACGGACCACAGAGCATCAGGACTCACAAGGGCCCTTCTGTGACTGCCATTCACAGTCCCGCTCCATTGTGTTTTAAATCTGCCTAATCACATCAGATGGGGGGAGGCAGAGATAAACCCACTCTCTCACATAGATTGGTTATTTAAAATCCCACTTTGGGAGCAAATCTCACAAAACAAGGAACATTTACACAAGAGGTTATTAGCTAAACTTTAATAAAGCCAGCCTTCCGGAACATGAACTCCACAGGCAGTCACTTTTTTCTTAAATAATATCCAGAATCCACCAAGCTTTGCCATTGCCACAGCATTAAGGAGCACAGGAGTGGGATTTGAAGAAGTTTTATCGGGGAAAAATATCCAAAAACCTCCTGAAATCTTTCAGTGTGGCAAAAACAATTTAGTCCCACCAAGTTAAAATTCCTAGCCAAATTTCTACTAGGAAAAAGAAAGAAGAAAGAAAGAAAGGGAGGAAGAGAGGGAGGGGGAGAAGGAGGGAAGAAAGAAAGGAAGGGAAAGGAAGTAAAGAAGGAAAGAAGGTAGGGAGGGAGGGAGGGAGGGAAGGATTCACCACTAAAATAAATGGATCTTCACAGAGATGACTCTTGATCTCAAGTCATGAAGCTGATACAGTCCATGGTGGAACGGATGAGCAACTGGTCTTGCTGCACTACAGCTAGCTGTTCCCACCCAGCCTTTCATAAAACAAATCCATCAGCTAGTGTGACTTCTGGGTGCCAAAGCCACATAATAACGTAAGAATACCCAGCGTGGGGAGTGAGTGAGCAAAAGCAAGCGAGGTGAGGTGAGGTGTACTTCTAAATGTCAGCACGGCTGAATGCTGATCACGAGGTTTTAAAGCAACTGCCCGTCCTGAGCCTGCCACTTTCCCAGGTAGCCACCAGCCAGGGTGGAAGACAGAAAAAAATCAGCCTTGTAAAGACCCCAGAGACAAAGACAAAAACAATTCTTCTGAAGAGCAAGCTCTTCATTATTTTGTGTGATTGTGTCAGAAAAGAAAAGCAAGATCAGCTCTGTGCAGTTGCCTGCCCCTTCCACATTCCAGCACACACTATTTCTGGATCTCACCCAGTGAAAGGGGGAACAGAGACACCCACACAATGGACGTTTCAATTAATGAAATGTAACCATTGTGCCTTCGCTACTGTACTCAGATGGTGAACACAACCCTGGCACCACCAGTGAAAAACCATTGTGTGATGAGTTGATGAGTCAGCCAGACTTCTCAGGGTAGGCGAAAATGACAGGAAGAATGGGATGCTTTACAAGAAATACTTCTAGTTTTAGAAAATTTGTAATTCTAAAGCAGCATTGCTAATTATCACCAAGAGTTTTTACATGTTTTTTGTTAAATGTATATATACAAATACATACAATATATATATATTTTTAGAGATGGGGTCTTGCTATATTGTCCAGGCTGGCCTCAAACTCCTGGGTGCAAGTGATCCTCCAACCTTAAAACCCCTACTTGCTGGGATTACAGGTGCACACCACCACCCAGCTTGCTTGATATTATTTTTTTTACCCTACTGGCTTGCCTGCTATTTGACTGGCTTTAGAAAATCTGTTCTTAAGATTCACATGAGTCTAAATAAAGATAAAAGAAGGTATTGAGGTCAAAGGGCAATACACCCAACTATATTTTAGAAGCACTCTTATTTCCCTGAAGCTTTAAGATCTTTAAGGATGGGCAATGCACAGGCCTGAGGTCAGAAATATGTTTTGGAAAGGGCACATTATGGAAGGAAGCCCTCTGCTTAGCCACTCTCTCATGGAAGTGAGATAGATACTTCTCTCTTGGGAGATACTCTATACACCTCTGGTTCTGATCCTGAGTATGTAGAAGAAAATAGAGACAGAAAGAATAGCATACAATCTGCCCAGCGGCAATGGAGCTTTGCTGGGTTGTCTCTGGCTGTAGAATGACTTGTGCTTTCCCATTATAAAATAACCTTTATAGGTTATTCTAATTCTGAAGGTTATTTCTCTTC